AGCATTACCTGCTCTCACACCTTTTTCTGACAGATGTTTTGACAGTCCTTGAACAAAGCTGAAGCAGGGCCAAACAGCTCTCATTCCCTCAAAAAGGAAGCGCTTCTAATTTGTGCACAGTAAAGGAGAGGTGTTGTAATGTGCACCACTCAGATTACAGAAATTAAGAAGCGCAGCGTAAATGAGACACGTATCACTAAGTAAAACCCATGCCTTGGCTACACCAGCCAACACAATGATAAACCCTGGATTACCTTGCTTGAAGTCTCTCATTAAAATAAAAGTTTAGAATTGCTTTGCCACAATCCCAGTAACAGTGAAGCTGCCATCGCAGAAAGGCCACCTCTGGCACAAACCATCATTTCCTCCCCCCTCACATCTAAGCCCAGTCCCTCTCATCCTCCCCTCGGGCAACTGTGTGGCTCCCAGTACAAGGGAACACAGTAAGAATGCTTTCTTCTGCTGTGGGTGTAAGGAGATGCCTTGTCCTTGAGACTAGAAGGTCTGGGCTTCTCAAGCAACGCTTTTAAGCTAAAACTTGGTTAAAATGCTGCAGAAAAACTATTTAAAACGGTTCATCTGCAAACACTGCCTCACATGTGAGGGTCCACATCTGTGACTGGCATAATTCGACATAATGCTCCTTCAGTCAGCAACCAGAGGAGCAGAACTTACGGCTTCAAACTTAAGAGGCCTTTCTACCATAACCACCGAAGACAGCTGGAAAATTATATTTAGCTACAACCAGCCATTTAACCTGGCATTGTCATGAAAAATGTCTGTTTCCTTGGCTCATCCGTCATCAAAGCATAATAAACTTGTAATCAAAATGATATCACTTCTACTGTTGCTGCCAATCTTGCCTTAATGGATTTAATTTAGTAAAATTTGAAGAAAAAAAAAAGTTTCCATGTGCCTGCTGCAGACAGCAATAGCAACAATGGCTTCATAGGGACTGTGGAAAAAACAACAATCAATTCCCCAGTGGCAAAGTGTTCTGCCAACTGGATGTTGCTAGGGCACTGCAGGGCTGGGGGGACTTATCTGCACAGGACAGAGCTGAACCTACCTGCCCTTTCAAGGAAATGGAGCCAAAAGAGTTAATCTTTCTTTTTTTCCCATTGGATTTTCTCTGCAATACATGCCACTGGCTGGAATCCAAGCCCAGGAGGGTTGTTTGCTGTAGTATCAGGAGGGTTTGTGGGGAGAGTTAGGAGGGTTAGGCCTCTGCACCTGTAGGTAACATTGCAACATCTCACTTTGTAACACTGATGAGATGGCAAACTGATATTTATTCCCCTTTGGCTATTTGCCTCCTTCAGAAATTTTGTTCTTTAATTTTCCCTTTCTTCCAATCACTCAGGATGATGGGCCCAAACTGAAGTTTTAGGCCTTTTCAACAAGCTTGACAAGTCCAATGGCTTCTTCTACTACATGAAAATAGCACCGACTACAAGAGAAAGCTTCATGAAGCTCTGCATTCAAGGCATGCGCTCCAGAGCTAAGATACAGAGTGACTTTGAAAGCTCTGGTAGCAAAACCTGTGCTGAAGTCACTGAGAACTCTGCTTGGGTCCTGATGGCAAGTGTGGTAAAATAGTATTTTCAGCACCTACAGACAGGTTTCTACCAGTGTTAGTCCTGGTGCCTCCATCACAGAGCAAAGCCAAGAATAGGAAAGATTGTAATAAATCAAATTTCACTCCAATGCGAGCAAGAGTGGCTTCCTATTTAAATTAAACCAGGACTATGACACATGAACAAATAGCTTTAAGTTGCTCATGGGTACCTTTTGACTTGAAATAAGAAAGAGGTTATTATACCAACAACTTCAATACAGAAATACAACTCTGTAACAGCTTTCTTGGGGCCAACAAGCCTAACTAGCTTTAAGGATGTTGACAAGATTTTTATTTTTTTTTAACAATCTTAACAATTTTTTTAGCAGAGGACTTAATGTCATGTCCTATTATTCCTTTCATTTTTACACTGATGCTCCTCCTGCATTACTCAGAAGTGTTTTAGGAGGCAGCACAGGCATAGACACATTGTTTATGAAGAAAAACAGAAGGGAGGAACTGAGGCAGGGTTCAAAAAAAACACCTTTTTCCTCAGTGGATGTGTATAATAATCTGTTTTCCCTCTTAAAAAATAAAAATGAAAAATGAAAAAAGAGCTAAAGACTTTGGCAACTAGTATTCATTCTCTACTGGATTTCTTCTGGGAGCTGAGCATTTTGCACTCACACTCTGAGGTGCAAACAGGGAATTCATCTTGGGACCCAGGCAGTGTAATATTATACCAATGGGTTGATTCAGGAGCAAAACCTTCAAAGAGACTCACACCGCTGAAATTCTGGAGAGAAAAAAGGAATGACCAATGTGCAAGTAACTACATGTGTCAATGGGCTGTGACTGAAGCTAAAGGACTTGACTTTGCATTCCTCCTAAATTCAGGGGGGAAACTGGGGCCGGAGGGGTGAATCACCAGAAGTTTTGTTCAAGGAATGTAAAACAGAACACAGAGTCTATTGCCCCCACTGGGATTTCACGACTACTTAATACTGGTTATTTCATTAGAGCCAAAGCAGAATCAAACCTCAGGTCTAAGGAAGCCCTTAAATAAGTCTTTACTAATGTCATATTATTTTAATGGTGTAAATCCACAGGAGTCAGTAGGGCTATCCAAGATTTACAGAGATAAACGTAAGCAAGATTCAACACTTAAAAGGTAAGTTTCTTAGACCTATGACGTGTTCATTTGCTAGTCTAAGCAGAGGCATAAAAATCATCAGTGAACAGATGCTAAGCAGAGAGTAACAGTGAGAATCAGATCTTGCCTCAAAAAGCTTCCCAAATTGATGTATAAAGAAAAGTACATGTTTGGGGCTACTGATCCGTGCTGGTGAAAACCAGCATCATTCCAGTACCGGAGGAACATCCACTTTTGCTGGCCAAGGCTGTAGCCCTTGATTATCTTTTCCTTCCTACAGGGAGGGACACAGCTCTAATCTGGATGGGGCACTGCACAGATGTGCTCACCTCAAACAACACCGTGCCAGCTAGGACTGATAGGCATGAACCAGGGAAGACAAGTCAACACATGCTTAGCCTTTCTGGTAAATCTGCATCACTTCATTCCCAAAGAAGAGCAAATCACCCTTTGGAGTCCACAGAGGAAGGCTTATTTCAGCAGCTGAGGTCCTTTTTTCCAGCCTGCAGTTGAGAAATGCTGCCTTTTTCCAGTCAATATTTGCAATATATCAGGATCCTGAGGGGAAGAATAAGGACCTGATCTGCTTCTTGCTTACGCCAGGATAAATTAGAAACAAACCCATCAGTGTTAACGGCCTTCTATGAGTATAAAACAGGTGTAAGTGAGAGAAGAAACAGGTCTATAAACTCAACTGAATTTAAAAATCAATGTATTATTTTTTCAATCATGCAAAGATTAGATTACATTACATATATACACACACATATACAGTTTTTAAAGCCTCTCCAAGAAATCAGAGAGAAACTAAGCAGGGCATATGGAAATTTAACTGTTTGCTCATAAAAAGCTGCTAAAATCTGCCAAAGTTAAAAGACACTGTGCAGTCTACTATACAGCCTTGTTAAAAAGAAATAAATTTAAAAAGCTGCATTTTTAACTTCGACTACCTGATGGGTGGAGCAGAAGCTTTAGTTGTCTTAGATAAGCAATATTTCTGTAGTATTAAATAAAGAGTTTGGTGGGAGTTGGATTTTTTTTTTCTTTTTTTGTCCCTGAACGTCAGGATCGGATTTCTACGGCTTTAAAAAAAAAAAAAAAAAAAAAAAAAAAAAAAAAAGCGCTTCTCGGCGCTGCCTCAGGACTGTTTGATGCTCCTTTGCTGCCACCAAGTGGAAAAGAATCATTACGGCTAAAATTTTCACGAGGAGCCAAAGCACATGTGCCAAAGGCCTCGGCTGGCTGCGCTTTCCTTTCCCGCTCTCCTCTCCCCATTTTTACCTCAGCCTCCCCCGGGCTGCCTGAGGGGAGGGAAGCGGCGCCCGCCGCCATCTTGGCCACGCTGCCGCCTCCGTCGAAGGCAACTGCGAGCACATGCTGGGGAAACAGGCACCGGTAAATATAAAAAGAGGAGCGGGGAGGAGCGGGGACGTAATAAGCACACGCTATCTCCACAAAACATCTCGAATGAAAGCCATAAGGAAGGGCCTGCTAAGCATACAATGTTTCCTCCCTAACAGTCCCTCACTTCGCATACTCACAGAATTGCTTTCCTCCGCTGGGTGACACACAGACGCTTTGTGGGTATAAAAGGCGTAAAGGGGAGTAAATCCTCATTTTTTCCTGCAGAGGAACCGAAGGATAGGGCGACACGCACCAGAAAGCAAACAGCGCCTCCCACCCGCACTGCCGTGAGGTAACGCCTGGCCGCCATTTTAGGTCCTGGGCTGGGGGCTGACTGACCATAACATGGCGGCGAGGGGGGCATCCCTCAGGGGGCCCTGCACTGGGGACAGGGCGTGTGGGGCACATGGAAATGGCCTCCCTCAAGCGCTGTGGTGATTGCTCAACTGGGAATTTGTTACACTAATAGAAAAAAAAAAAAAAAAAAGGGCTGGTTCTTTTTTTTCAGTGAACCATTTAATCTGCCTGTTGTGTTTGCCTGAACCATGCACGATACACCTATGTATTTAAACAAGATAGCTGATGGCAAAGCAGATACCACTGGGGATTATATTCCATGAAAGATAAAATCTGTCTATAGTATTACAACACTGATGAGTCAGCTTCTTTTTGTTGAGATAGGTGAAGAGGAGTAAGGAAGAAACTTGTTTTATTGCTTTATGTACAGATGGGTAGTTTGTGTCTAGGACTGCAGCCCCTGATGGAGGGGCCTAGTGGAGAGAGCTCAGAGACATTTCTGTGCAGGTGCTACAAAGGAATCAAAGTGTATGTTGGTTTCAAGGGATATATACACTGTTCACCTTTCCTTTTAATTTAAACTAATTTAACATACTATAAGATGTTTTCTCTGTTTTAATAGATCTTGTTTTTGTTGCAATTACCGTCATTTAGGTAATACCACACAGATGTGCCCAAGGAACCCAAACTTGTGAGAAGTCCTGAAGAATTTCTGGCAGTATTTCTTGCATTCAAAGCTAAGAGACAGGAGAGACACCCAGTTGAATTATGTTGAAAGCAGACATAGGAAAAGCAGATGAAAGACTGAAAAAGAGATGAAATGGCCTTTAATCACAAAGGTAATTAAACAAAAGGATTTGCACGCTGTTGTGGTGTAATCAAACTGAAAAATATCTGCCTCTTTAATGTATACAAATAAGCTAACCTACTAAAAGTCTCAGATTCACTAAAAGTGGAAAAATGGCCAACTTCTAAGCTTATGGTTATCTGGTTCATTTTCCAGATGTCTTCCAAAACCTAAATTTTAAGATGCATTCTTCAGTTACGTCACAAAGAAATGCTCAGATAGCTTTAGAACATGGGGCCCACAGATGTGTTAACACACACAGTGCCAGCAAAGACACTCCAGTTAACACCAGCTGAGAATCAGCTCTTTTTTGTTTTATGTTGGTTGGTCTTCAGCTTAGATGCTTGAATAGAGGAAATCATTGCTAATCTTTGCCAGCTGAACTAGTAGCCACTGAGGTTTCTGAGGCCAGCAGTCTATCCAGTACAGGCCTTGTCTTAAATGACTTTGAACCTCAAATTCTTTTTGGACAGAGATGAATTTACCACTGTGCATTAACTTAAGGCTTGGCTAAGTTATATTTTGGCTTTTTGCTCACAGACTGAAAGTTCCATGAGGTCAGAAGACTACAGTTCAGAAGTCACTGTAGCTAATGGCAAAATCTAGCCTCTTTGCCTTTTGAAAACCTGTGCAAACAAGTCTGAGGGCAAAATCTGGTCCTTACTTTTTATCTGCTAGTACAACCTCACCTGGATAGCAGGAGGCAAAAAGAAAAACTTTTTCCAAGCTTGTTGTATTCTTGTTAAGCTTTTAAGTGGGTCAAATCACAATCTGGGCAGTTTGTCCTGGTTTCAGGAAGAAAAAAGAAAAATCACCGTAAGGAATCTAGAAATCGCTATAAGGAATCTAGAAATATTCACCTATGCCCAGAAATGACTCATCTGCCAAAATTCCTTTGTGTAATCCTGTATTTAAGGGATGAGGTTGATTTCTTAGTCTTTAGTGACCTCAGTGTCTTGTAAAAGAGTGCCTGTAAAAAATGAAAAGCACCACCACCAAAAAAAAATAAATTAAATGGACCAGAGTTCAGTCTCCATTTTACCAGCTCAAACCTGGATTGGCTTCAGAGTCTTTTTTAAAAAAGTCTTTTTTTTTTTTAATCTTTTTTTTTTTTTTTTTAAAAAAGTCTAACAACAGTAAAGTTTCTTTTTGTTATTTTTCAAGTTGTGACAGAATACTCATGTTTCAGATTTTTAATACATTTATCATAGTTAAACTTTGAAAAGAAGTACACTTTCACTGGAGTTATATCTTAGGAAGGTGACGTGTGAATGAATTTCATTTAGTTAAATTGATACGAACTCCAGTGTGATCTTAATGTAAATTAAACAGATGCATAGGAAAGCATCATTTGTCTACATTATTTCTTTTTGAAATCTGAATAAAGCTACATTAACACAGTGCTGTTGCAGAGTTGTTCAAGATCTGCAGTTCTGCAAATACAGGATGTTACAGAGCCCTGTCATTATCTGAGATAAATTGGAATTTAACTGTAGAGCCCATATTCTTCTCAAAGCTGTTTGTGGCCTCAAAACTGTGCTGGGGGCTCATTAATGCCAATGACCATGGGAAAGCTGGAACACATGCAAATTTCGAGCCAATTTCTACTGTGTCATTTTCTGAGGTTTCTCTAGAGCTCTAATCTGGATAGATTTTCACTGGGATAACTTTTCTCTTTAACCTCCTGACAATTTTATTTTATTTTTTTACCTCAAGGAAATAAAGTTACAGCCTGGAGAAAAACACAGAAGTTTTAGCTAACATTGGCAATGCAACCTATACTTAAATAACCACGTTTTTGAGCACAACTGTAAGAGTAACTGTTCAACCTTTCCAGGAAAAAAAAATGAAAAAAAGAAAAAAAAAAGGCACACAAAACAGCCATGACACAGACCAAACAATACAAATAACTTAAAGCTGGCTAAATTATATAAGACTGGAAACAGGTCATTATAATACAGAGTTGAGGCACTCTGTGTAAGTAGGAGTGGTAAGCCCTCTACATAATAAAAGACAAACAAAGCTTAACAAACTCTGTCTCTTCATCAAGGAAGCAGCCTTTAACTAACAGACAAACTTCACTGGAAATCAGAGACTTAAAATCAGCTAGATTTTAGTGCTGTTTTTGCTATACAATACATATAGACATGCATACCTTCATAAAACCAAATTCAGTTCTTTTTTGCTGGAGTTTTACTGCTCTGGCTCTAACTAAATCGAGTTGAGGTGACTTAAAGGAATAGAGCCTATGATGTTACACCCAATCACCAACAGTAGCATTTCATTAATAATACACACTTTTGATTCTGATACACGCTGAGAGACCTGTTTGCCATTCAGGAGATGCGTAACATGCAGGTGGATGTGTACTGTGTACATACACAGACACAGCACCTCGTGAGATTTACTGCCTTGAGGAAATGTTCTCTCCATGGAAACATTGCACGAGAAAACATGTTTGGTCTTGTGTGCGAGTTGGGGAGTAGGTTTGTTAGCCCAGGGCAACAAATTTAAAAGATTGTTTATGCTGTCCAGCTTAATGACGTTTGTTACTAGGCATCTCTCCTTCTCACCTTTTAATAATAGGGACAGTAACTTTGTGCCTTCAAACAACAATAAATTTGTTCCCACAAGGCCAAAACCACTGAAATGATGAAGAAAAAATAAACATTCTAGAAGACAGAAGAAAATAAAATCTGAAACATCTTCATGAAAACGATCATTCATATCAAATGAGAGGATATCAAATACTACTGCTTTCCAGGCAAGTTTACTTGTTCAACTCAGCAACTGCTTATTTACTTTAACAGACTGTGCTGGTAAAACACTGCTAAAATTTGCCCTTAGAGTTGCTCCTTTAACAGAGTTCATTTGCAAGCCCAGCTAGACTCTATTTCTTTTTCTGCCTATTCTGAATCATTGTTGTGCAAGATGTTTCACGAATTTCATGTGATCCTTACCTTGGAAGTGATTTTGTTGATGTACCCTACAGATAGCCACTCTAGGTACCTTAGAAATCAAGATTGTCTTGGTGTAAATCTGGAACAGAGTGAGACCCATTTTCTATAACTTAATATAGGCTTTAAATTCCTCCATGGAATGTGTCCACACTAGACAGAGAAGAAGCCTCTTGGCAATACTGAATTATCATACTGAATTGCTTCCATCCATTTGCTGGGACTGCCAAATTGAAATGATGCATTTCAAGGCAACCCTACACTGAAAAGTAAAAGATAGCCTCTTAAATGTTCCATTTATAAAGCTTTTTATTCACAGTCAAATTTAGTATCCCCTCTGAAATATATCACTTTACAAAATTGATACCTTGCCATTACAAGATTTCCACGCCATATTCACTCAGCTTAGTAGTAAAAACAAGCCTTCTCTCTTTTCCCTTTGGTACAGCTGATGAAAACTGAGCCATTCAAGGTCTGCTTCTTAGATCACCAGCACTAAGTATTCCATAGGTCTGTAATTTTCTCCTAAAGGGAAGGTTAAAAGTCAGCAAAAAGGCAAGTTATTAGGTCTATCAGTAAAATATTACGAACAAATCATATTGGAAAGCAGAAGTGGAAAAAAAGACAAACACAAATGCTGAGGATGGTAAGAGTGATCTGCAAGACAAAAGCATTCATATAGATACTCTGGAACTCAATGCGAGGTATTATCACTCAAAGCAAACAAGCAAAAAGAAAAATGATGGTGTCACACTGCAGAACCTTAATGCATTTTTTCCTAATACGTGACAGCTAATTCTAAAATGACAAATCACATTATTTACTTTATATATTCTTTCCTTTAAATTGCTGTAGCCTAACTTTTTTTTTTTTTAATCACTGCCAATTAAACTTTTAAGAAATGTACATGTGCAGTTTTTTTTTTTTTAACAATTGCCCCTTTTCAGATCTGTACATTATGACAAAGGCATAACCTGTCCACATTTGGGCTGCAACCAATTTAAATTATTTTGTCTCTAAATTGGAAAGTATCTTTGGCTTTAAGTTTGCCAGACTTACTTTGCTGAAGAAGCAGAACATCTCTGCAAAGTCTCATGGTCACTTCTCCAATGATATTCTGATTTGGATATCACTAAAATGTTCAGCTGAAGTTAATTTTTCTTCCAACTTCCAATTTACATAAACATGGTGTGCTGTTGTTCCCTTACACCTCAGCTCTCTAAAGCAGCTGGTCAGCAGCTGACAGAAACCTTCATCCAGGTGAACCACAACTCTTCTGGGATTGCAGAACCAAATCCTCATCAACCCCCGGCCCATGATATTTACTATGAAAACCAAGATTTTTCTTTACATTTGTAATGGTCCCAGCCCCACAGTTTAAAGAATAGAATTTGGTCTCCCTCTTAATTCCAAGGAAATTCTTAATCCTGAAGAATTCAGAAAGTTATACTTAAGAATTTAGTTTATTTGTGTAGTTAAGTTTCCAAGGTAATTTGATCCTTCTTCAGCTTTTATCATTCCAGATAACTACGTTCTGAGGAGATTTCCAATGAAACTGTAACATTAATACTTTTTGACAAGGCTTTATGCTAGTATTGATTTTTACGACCAGGAGAAATTAGGATGACATAAAACATTCGCTCTTGAGGATGTAGTTCTCCAATAATAAAAATACTGAAGGAATAGAAATGAACACCAGTGATATGTTGACTTCCCAATTCATGACAAACGTTTATAACAATGGGAATTAAATTTCTAGTAAGATTCCTCGTTTGTTTGTAGTCGCCGTAAGCTGTTTTACTGTCTTCGAGGAAGATCAAGAGCTATTTTCTTGGAACAGATCTGCAGCAACTTCACATGGCTGGGGATAGTTTCTACAGTCTAACTTCTGTTTAGTTCTGGTAAAAATCTCTTTACATGGCTGTGACAGTTGATGACTTGGAGTTTTCTCCCTGCAATATTTTTCTGAGAAGCACAGGTGTGGGGGAGAGGGGAAAGGCTCTCTCATTAGCCACTTAAAGATGCAAATAAGAAGATAATTAGGCTGAAAAAAAAACACTTTGAGTAGTGGGCCAGCCACCTACTATGAAGTCCCAAGCCATAGATTTGATAACTGAATAATTTACTTTTCATGTCCAACTGCAGCAGTTCAGTGAAGCCACACTTATTCAAGGACCAAAGTTCTTTAATGTCAGTGGAAATTCTCCCACTGACTTCAAAGCAGATTAAATCAATTACCATCTAATGACCTCCAAATTAGGTCATGCACACAGCTTCCATGGAAGCCCCCAAGTGCTGTTTATTTAAATGCAGTTATTTAATGCTAACACTAGTGTGGCTTAAAATCTTGAGTTGCATTTTCATTTTTCTAGGTTTCCTTTGGTAAGCTTAGAAAATTCCCCAAGTGACCTTCTATCAAATTCTAGTCATAGCTGCTAACTTCTCTTAGCAATATCATCGCTTTATTGTGGCAAAGACTAGAAAGCAAGAAAAGTCCAAAGACCAGCAGCTAACATATTAAATGCACATATCAAAACACAGATGTAACTTTAAAAAGTAAATACTATTTAAACTTTTAACTTGAAACTCGAACATAAACCCATCTAAGTTTGACATCATTGATCAGCCTCTGGTTAGTCCAACTACGTACAGATCTGTAACGTAAATTAAGATTTTTACCTATTTTTCTCATTGCATTGGTTAAAAACATTCTCAGAAGCAGCAGTTTTAAGCTTTAATGTACTTGCAGTAGCAAAACCAAGATAGAGCAGGGAGGTGTCACGTGTACCTTAATGCTCTCTTTAAATACCTTAAGTTCATTAATACTTAGTACCAGTAACTTATAATAGCAATGCTGTACATTTGCATTAACCAGTGCAGAATTGGCATTTCTGCACCATATTCCGCACATAAAGCAACGGGACTAGAAATCTCCCAGATATTTTCCTAGATTTTCAGGCCTTTTCAGACCCATTCTACAAACTAAGGCTCACATCCGTTCATGCACACAGACTCTGTTTTGTCATTTCATATTTGAGATGTGTAAAATTAAATGCATATCCTGAAGTTCAGATGTTCCTAGGATCATTTCAGTGATAGATAAAAATACTTGGCATTCATGCTCGTGTATTTCAAGCCTCTTTCTACTAAGGCCAAGAGTCAGTAACAGGACCATGGTGATGCTCCTCCGTTTGCAGGGGTTGTTTTCTTTGCATTGGAAATGCCACAAACACAGGCTTTGTCACCAGAATATCCATACAAGCCTAAAGCATTTACAGAGCTGCATTTGTCACATGTATATAAACTGGCTTATCACAAATGCCAGCTACCTGTATAATAATTAATTATACCAGACAGATTGCTACCTCAGTAACTCTTAGCTAATATCCTTGCATTATTCTTATTTAAACATTTAACAATGAAAGCTGTGTACTTCACTGGACACTGAATTATGATCCTTTTCAGAAATTAACCTTTTAAAAGAATAACTGTAATTGAGAAGCTTAAGAGGAAAATCATGTAATGGAAACGTCCTTCAGTCCCTTTTAATTAACAGCATTGTGCATAAATACATACTGATCTACCTGTTTCCTCAAGACAGCGTGCCAAAGTAGAAGACACCATCTCCCAGAAAAATCTCTGTATTATAGTGCTTGTGGCTTGTGCCACTTTATACCACTTCTGTTTTATTACTAATTAGTTCATAGGAAATCTGTCCTCTAAATTAGAAAAAGAAAAACAAAAAACATTAACTGTGTTTGAGATTGACATTTTGAAACTCATGCTTTGCATATGAAAGTATCTACACCCACACAAGTTCAGAATTCTGATTATATTCTACAGCCACCATTTGCAGCAGTAAGTTCAAAAGGGTTGCAGAACAGGACAGATTTCCAAATAAATTGCCCAAACCTATCTGAACACACCAAGAGAAGAGCTGCTTTACATGAGTATTGCTGTCTTTGTTGAGAACACACTTGGAGTCTTTCACATTTTTAGCTTTAATCACAACAGAAGACTCATGAGTCTAACAGCGCTCTTATTTTGCATAACTCTGACATTAACCTGTAGAAACCAAACAGTCTCAATTTTAGCTTTCAGCTGGCAAACCTTTACGGGGCTTTGACACGTATATGCACAAGTAGTCCCGTAGATTAGAAGGTTGCAGTTAGGTGCCTGCGTGAGCATCTATATAAGCAAATTCTCTTTAGATTGCTTTAACCAGATTGAAGGAAGTGCTATTTATTCAAAGATTTTATTACAAACAAAAACATGTAAATTCATATTAGTCACTGAAAAAGTTTCTACAACACACAATTGAGTTTATTAAACTTGATAATCTTTTAAATATTTATTATCAGATATTCAATGACAAGAGAACCTTCATTTTAGCACCTCATTCAAATTAGTCCTGATTCTGCATTGCACGATGCAGTACGACTCTAAGGACCACAGTCATCAATTGTAAATCATCCAGCTTGCAGTACTATAGGTGTACTGGATTTATCTGAGGGAAACAAATAGTTTGCAAGGCAGAAGAGTAGTTTGAACTGTACCAGAGAATGCTTTCCCCACTGAAGATCTGAGAAATAGCAATGAATGACCACACTCCTACCACCTCACAGCACATTTCTCTGTGTCAGCAGTGAGAGATGAGCGCTGCAGACAAAATTCCAATCAAGTTCCTGCCTGTGCTATTTCCTAATAGCTGTCCCCTGGCTGCTCCTTTGTTCAGCCCCTACAAAGAACCTTCTTGGGTTATGTTTTTTTTTTTCTATTGACTGACACAGGGGCTTAGCATGGAATTCAGACTCTTTGCTTATAGCCCTTGAAGATCAGTTTCCTCAGAGGCAACAGAAGTAAAGGAATATGGCACAAATTCAAGTCCAGAAGCTGAAAAGGAAACAGTTTAACACAGTGAATAAACCTTACATACACTATGAATGCAGCATTTCACACAATTGACAGTGGGAAAGTAAACTTTTTTTTAATTAACATAAACACCACAAACTGGACAGCATCATTTGAGACTAGTTTTAATATTCAGGAAATTAAATACATATAAAAAGTGTCAATCATTCAGCAGTAAAAAAAGATAATTCTTAAGTATTATAACAAAACAGCATCCTGGCTTGCATAAGAAACAGTGTGACCAGCAGGGCTAGGGAGGTGATCGTCCCCCTGTACTTGGCTCTGGTGAGGCCACACCTCAAGTACTGCGTTCAGTTTTGGGCCCCTCGCTACAAGGACATCGAGGTGCTTGAGCGGGTCCAGAGAAGGGCGACGAAGCTGGTGAGGGGGCTGGAGAACAAGTCCTACGAGGAGCAGCTGAAGGAGCTGGGCTTGTTCAGCCTGGAGAAGAGGAGGCTCAGGGGCGACCTTATCGCTCTCTACAGATACCTCAAAGGAGGCTGTAGCAAGGTGGGGGTTGGCCTGTTCTCCCATGTGACTGGTGACAGGACGAGGGGGAATGGGCTTAAGTTGCGCCAGGGGAGTTTTAGGTTGGATGTTAGGAAGAACTTCTTTACCGAAAGGGTTGTTAGACACTGGAACAGGCTGCCCAGGGAAGTGGTGGAGTCACCATCCCTGGAAGTCTTTAAAAGACGTTTAGATGTAGAGCTTAGGGGTATGGTTTAGTGGGGACTGTTAGCGTTAGGTCAGAGGTTGGACTCGATGATGTTGAGGTCTCTTCCAACCTAGAAATTCTGTGATTCTGTGTGAAAACAACACTTGTATCCATTACCAGCAAGTTTATGTCAGGTCATCATCATTTGAATAATGAAATGTTACTTCTCTAGCATCAAATGGCACGTTTGATACATCAGATGTACATATAATGTGATTACTTCAGTGATAACTTCTAGACAAAATACAATCCGGATAATTATTATTTATTTATTTTTTTAAAGTATAACTTCATCAAAATGTTGCTATATAGCACTTCTGTTAAACTCATATAGCTTACAAACCACATTTCAGTAATTCTAGGAGTCTCTGATTATATAAGGATTTATTATATTATAAAAAATTAGTCCATCTTTCTCTTTTTTCCTTTAGCAGGAGTTTTGGAGGTACGTTCATTTTCAGGGCTTGGTTCCCACAGTGCATTTCTTACAAATCTGGAAGCTGCTCCTTTATCAAGTTTAGATGCCTTTTTCTTGTCTGCTATTTCTTTGACCTTGTTCATATATGTTCTTATTCTCTCCTAGAAAAAAAAAAAACAACACACATTTCACACCATTCTTTCAAGATTGCTGCTAAAGTAAAATCAATGAGTAGAAGCACTCCACATGGCATACTTCTGTGACCGTAATACACAGAAAAAAATCACATCTTCTAAACATATATCAGACTCTTTGCAAACTTCAGGCTTCCCTTTTAGCTGATTTTCCATCACAGATATCTACTGTACGAATATTTGCCTGACACCCATCACCAAGTGAACATGAAATACTACAATTTTACAGTGAGACAACAGAATTTTATTTATCTTGCAAAGTTAAAACACAAGATACTGAACGTGATTAGGAATTTGGCCCATGATTTCCAGCTGTACCAGAGGTTTCTTTCATGACCATAAATAACTAAAAAGTCTGTTTCCACTGTCATTCCATAAAGCGAGGGAATACTTTCCTTTCTTGTCATCCTTAGTCTATCATAACAATTTAGTGTCTGCGCTTTTTTAAACAAAGCATGGCTCCAATTCAGCCACGTCCCAATTTAATAATCTATGTATCAAGTCATCCTCAGCCAGTTCCGTGATCGATAAACAAAGGTACTCTGAGGGTGTAATTAAAACTCTTTAAGACAGGAATCACCCTCTGAAGTGCCTGCTTCTCTCCACTAAGTAGAGGGGACATTTACACTGATTCTGTAAAATACATAACTTGGCTGACAGGTTTCACATTTAGATGTTTAGTCCAATTATGGCCTTGAACTTGAGGGCCTTTAGGTATTACTGAACAAACAATAAACAACAGTAATATGTGTGTAAAGCACATCCAATTCATGTGTCAGGTAAAGTAATATGCAAGTGTGGATTAATAGAAGGATACTGATAACTAAACACATGCTGATAACCCACACAGCCATTGATAGCCTTTTTAATCAGGAACGTAAGTTACAAAATCTACACTACAAAACTGATTTTCAGTCCTTCAGTGACCCATACAAGCAAATGATTTGTCAAAAAGTTGGACACTCTTTCTGTACCAAAAACCTAGCTTTAATGAAGACAGCCTTACAGAGCCTGAAATCATGACAGACTGCAGTATTTCTTTGGTGACTGATATGGCGAATGAGAACAGGTGGCAAGCCTACGTGTATCGGCATGGGAAGAAGGAGCTGACAGATGTCAAAGTGGCAAAAGAAATGAACTCTGATAGCTTGAATGTGAGCTTTATTAATATCGTTTGAATTCCAGCGTACTCTCTGTATATACAGAAGGAGCAATTCTAAAAGCAAAACAATCATGACAGAACAGTCTTTTTTTACTCCCTTTCCACACAAATAAGAACATTACAATGCTCTTGAAAGGAAGGAAAGCACATTCATTCACCTTCATACTTGTAAAAGGAAAAGAAACCTGGATAAGAATCTAGCCTATGATAATTCACTCATTCTTCAAGTTAAAATGACTGGCAATTGTGAAGTAAAATACCAGCATAAAATATCCACAGCAGAAGAGTTACAATTTATTTTTAGTATAGCTAAATTAACGCAATATTCAGACGCTATATAATATAGGAGGAACAAGAAACTGATTGAAAGCTCATGAAATATTAACTGATCCATTTTTTAATATGATATGGTCTAGACTACTGAAAATCTCACAAAATTAAAAATAGAAGTATTGCTATTCAGCCTTCCACATTTTTCAGTCCTATCTTCCATTGCCCAGGTTACGTAAGGATTACATTTAATCTAAGTATATGACAATTGCCCAGATTTAATGTTTTCATTTATACAGGAATTAAAATGTGTAGCTGTAAGTTTTGATTTCTATTTTTTTTTCTTCACGCTAAATGATTTGATTTTTTTTTTTTAAGTCAGCAGAATTTCCAAGATACCAGGGTTTCTATACTGTAGTCATGCATCTAAATGGAATATAGAGACAAACCTAAAAGATTTATTATAGGTTGTAAATATGTCACTAATGCAGAGTTACTGGACAATACACATACAACTGGTGCCAAAAAAGCTTTTAGCTTTGTTGCTGAACTAGATTCTTTACTGCTGAGAAAATGAATTAATGGAGGACTTGGAAGGGGGGGGCTCTTTCCCGTCTCTGCTAGTAAATCAACCACACTATACTTTCAGAGTCACACAAAAGCAAGAAAAGGCAGCCTCAGAGATTAACATGATTCCAAGTATTTATAAGAAAAAAATGCCATATTGGAAGTGATAAATTATTATCAGACATGTAACATTTTTCCATTTAACAGATACAAGTGAAAAGCTATTCTGTTCAGAATTCAATTCTCAAAACAAAGGTGGGGAACAAATAAGATGATGACACTGTTCATCTTGTTCTTATTTCAGCAGGCTCTACAGCAATGCTTTAAACTGTATTGTTGGGAACTGAAAATATGACTTCCTTAATTTAGAGAACCCAGCAGGGCATATGAACAGGCAATGATGTAACACTATGTAGCATGTGTGCACTATTATGGCAACATACCAATTTTAAACATAGATTTTAAATATACATTTATTTCTGTGTGAGTTAACTGTCCTGGGAAAGTAAAGTATGGCAACGCATGCATCGTAAGAATCTTACCAGTTCTTGTTTCACTGGATGTTCCTTTGGATTGATTCCCTGAGTAGCCAAGTATACTACAAGAAGAAAACACATTTTTTTGAAATGGAAGGCTGTGATGACCAAGGGCCCAATCAATTGGTTATATAGGGAAGTGTAGTTTCCACATAAAACTATTAACCTTAGTGTTAACTGTATGGTTAAGTATCTGATGCACTACGGTCATGAAATATTGCAGTTTAAAAATGCATATATATATAATAATATATATAATAAATAAATAAAAATACATAGCGTGGTTAAACCTTGTCCTTTCAAGAAGGACTGAAAAGGTTGCCAATAACAGGAAAAAAAGGCACAAAGATCTTCATGCATGTACAAAGTCAGCCTTTGTAATTAGCAATTTTTGATTTGGAGTTTCAACATCATTTACCCCAAGAATGGCAGTAATTTGGGTCCTCAGGGTAATTACTAGTTTCTAATTATTTGGCTGTGAAATATGGTTATTTAATGTTTGCAGCTGTCTAGAAATGTTCAAATGGTGATCGTTTGAACTATTTCCTATCATATACTTACCCCAAAACATTGAATTTAATGTGTATGCTGAAACCAAATCCAGCTTTGCTTGCTCAAGAGGCTCTAACTAGAATGAAAAAAAAAATTACACATTAAACAAGATGTGCACAGATTTTAGTAATATTCCCATTTTATAATTGTATAGGAATGCATTCATATACACTGAATGAGCACTTCAAAAAAAAAAAAAAACCAAACAAACACAAGTTCACTAAGAACATATCCAAGCCTACTTTCCTGCCATCACAGAACCATTCCCTCCTCTTCAAGTATTCACACCATTTTTCCAGTTCGATATTAAATGCCACAATCCCAGATAGCCAGAAGCACAAAATCGATTAGCACATAGCTCAGACTATTGTTCCCATAGTCAGGGAAAGTCCCTATTTTTTCCACAGAAACTTAATTCAAAATAGTTTCTGCTACCACTGGAATTAAAAATAACCTCTTAAGATTGCTGAAGCTCAAATGCAAGTATGAACATTAACACTACACATGTTAGACTGTGTTCAATGCATGCTGGAATACTTAGGGCTGCACAGCAAAGGAAGAATAAAGGTAATGAGTTGTGTTTTTTTTTTTTCCCCATCCAACTGTCAAAGTCAATTTACTGTTTTAGTCCTATAGGATTTCCAGAAACTCTGATAAGATCATTGTACAGCTCACTAGTTCCAACATGGATACTGTCAAAAGATTGGTGTTGTCAAGACCATTTTCTTCATTTATTTATGTTAGAATAAATATATATCCTCAGAGAATAAAGAAGTTCCCTCACATGTTAGCTTTTTCTTGCCTTAAAAAAAAAAAAAAAAAAAAAAAAAAAAAAGGAAGTTACATGTTAGATCTTAAATGTTAAAAGGCAGGCTTGTATGAGGTCTTCAAGCAGTACCTTCCTCTACCTTTGTATCCTGATGAAACAACACAAATTTTTCAGACTTGTGCTTATAACACAGCTAGAGATAGCTCAGTTTTTCAAGCATCAGATTCTGCAAGTCTGAACTTCTGGAATCAGAAGATCAATTCTCAATGTTGCCAAATCATCTTTGCATCCTTCTGTATTAACCAAGTTCCACAAAGTTTGTAGCAAAAAGGTCTCAGTCAACTGTTAGTGAGCTCTCCAGTCCAGAAGACTAGCATGCGCTTTCAGGAAGGTCAGGAATAAGGTGGAATGCCCTTCACCTAAACGATTTGCTGGTAGGATCATCACTTTTTACCTTAGAAGAACATATATTTCATTGCTTCATTTGTAACACCCTCTGGGTACCTTAGCAATGTGAGTTTCAAACATTACGGTAAGAAGTGTCATATTTGTTATTTGTCTGTACAATGGCTAGCCAAACAGACCCTTTTATTCAGTTCAGGTTCCAAACTACTCCCGTTTTAATAACAGAAAGGCTGTCAAAAGGAAGATGATTTACCTTGTAGAGAAGCTCACTTCTAGGAACAGACATCATTGTCTTCAGCATCTCATCTACAGAACTAAGAGATTTTTCAAATGTTGTAAGATAATCATGAATTTCAGTGGGGTATTCTTCTGCGTTAATATCATCTTCTGACGTTTCCATCTGGAAAAAAGAAACAAAACTAATAATCCTCCCTACAGACTCAAAAAGACTCTTAAAATACAAAGTGTTAACATTTATACATTAAACATTACAAAAAACATCTTCTGAAGAGTTCTAGCAAGTAACATCAGTGCTGACACAGTTAAAGGTCCTGTGGTTTCAGGGATCTCTCTCAACCAATGTGCAGAACTGCATGAAGGAGCATTACAAATGACGTGACTGGAATACCTGTTCTTGTACCAGCCCTAAACCAGTTTTTAACTTTTATGGTCTGTGACAGAAATTATTTGCTTGCGTAAAAAAAGTGCTCCATAAATCACGGTACATAGAGAGCTGCACCAAGCAACAGGCAGAGCACTAAGAAAGCAGCGACAGGGCTTCAACCCATCTTAGGAACAGACATTACTTCAGCCTCAGAGCAGTTATCCAGCACCAGTTATGTCAGGGTCAGTTACATCTTCCAATCCTAAATTTAGGATTTGGTCCAAGAAACTCTTCTTGGAGACCCTGTTTTTGGAATTCTCGATGGGGTATTATAATCTGCGATATAACTCTACCAGTAAATGATGCTGAGCTCATTTTGAGTTCAGAATACGCTGCAAATCTTGAGGACATATCTATGCAAAGCAACTGTGAGATCAGCAAGGATGTGAAAAATCCCAGAGCTTTCCATTTTTGATCCCAGCATTCATGGTAACATGGCATGGCTACTGCCAAGCCATCTGGCTGCTGGCTTACGATCAAGATCTTTAATTCCTCTCTAATCATAAATCACTTATTATCTTGGGGAGTTGATGTTACTTAAAGCTGTGTTATTTTCTACAGCTTCTACTGATTGAGCAATGATTTTTTAAAAAATGTTATAAGGAAAGAAATGAAATATATCATTTTCCTGCCCATTTGCTGGGCTGCATCAAGAACAGCGTGAGCACCTGGAACACTGTAGCCCCTTCTACGTGGGGTCAGTGTGATAATCTCACTGCCAGCTGCTGAGTACAGGGGGCGGGAGCATCAGTTGGAGAAACTGCACTTTGCAAGTTTGATCTATGAACACCAAGCCATACAGCCTATGCAAACAGCAAGGAAACAGCAAACAGCTGTCACATCGCTGGAGTTTGTTTTAAAGATTTGATCTTTCCCTTTTCCTGGCAGGAGCTTGGTTTGTGTGAGAGAGGTTTCTTTTTATTTATGTTGTCTGCTGGAGGTCAAGCAGGACAAAGATTGGGAGGAAAAACAGCGTGGAGCTATTTTACTCAGGCTTGCCTACAACTTGTTTTTAACCACAGCAGCGCGATGCCAAGCATATGATCAGCCAGTTAACGAGCCCAGTTCCATTGCTGTTATTTGCACGGTTTAGAATTATAATCCTACTCTGCTGCATGACTTTGCATCCTGGTCAGAGTTTGTATAGTGTTACAATTTGTTGAAGGTCCCCTCGCTACCCCAGCACTTAACTCACTCCATCTAAATACCATTTCAGCCACCTGCAGCATATCTGAGCAAGAAAGCTGAGTTGAACTGACAAGATACTGTCACAGAAAGGCAAGATACCAATACACTTATTTCTGCCCTTTATCATAATATTGTTTGCATTTCATTCTGTCCTGGCTACCTGCACCCTTCTTATGCTGACTGAGCGAGTCCACTGTCTCTGTTGCTGTGTTGTAGTCTTAAAACACAGCACAAAAAACATGCAAAGCTACAGAAGGAACTAGACTCTCCCAGCTGCTGATACAGTTAAGCCTGGTTAGAAGCTATCTGTCAGCACACAGTTACTATACTTACGCACACAGGGACAGAGGTGTAATCCGATACAACAATATACGGGGCTTTGCCATTCTCTCCGATCCCTTATCTACTATGGTCTAAATTTTATAGACATGCATGAAAACACTGACAAATTCCAACTTTTCTCTCTCCCTTTATCAGGCCATCCAGCACCAGCAACTACAGAAAAAAAAACAGCAAACTCCTACAGCAGGAGCATGTCACCAAAACTAGTCCCAGCTTTTTTTACCACAGCTATGTGGACAAACAGGCACTGTAACATACACAACATTCTTCTTAGTATCCCAAGCTAGATGTAAAGAATGAGGCAGAAAAACTACAGGAAGTTAGAAGGAAAAAACAGATGCAGCCCAAAATACATTTTTCTCTGATTGCTGCCTCATGAATCAGAAAGAACTGCCCTGGTAACGTGATGTATTTTAGTGGCATTTAATTAGCAAAGAAAGGGAAAAACTGCTTCAGCCTTCCATGGAACAAGGCTGCATGTTACCATGAAGCCTACCACGCACAGGCTGAGTCTGCTCCTGCTGCCCTGGGAGAAGGAAGAGTTTGTTGGACTTGTGTTTTCTGTTCATTTCAACGGGAACTAGAGCAAGTTCCTCCTGCTGTGTAAGGATTCCTCTCTTTTCATTAGACTATTGTTTCAGCATTACTAATCTCTAAGCAGGATACATTGCAGCGTTGGCACATGCCAACAATACAGCAGCAGTCAACAGCCTAAAATAGTTTTGAGAGGATTAAATCAACAAGAACAAACTTTACACTGCATCAGAAAACAAGGACACCGGAAAGTGTTTCTGCCAAAATCAACACACAGACTGCACAGTCACACCTGCTGAATGACAAAGCCAAAGATGCAAGGAACTAAGACCTATCAGTGGCTCTGTAAACATGCGTAAAGGCTACGCTGCCCTCGATAGCTATGTTTCAGTGATTAAACCACAAACAAGATTTCCTCAAAGCTCTACAAGTGTTTCCCTATGCATTTCAAGGAAGCAGAATTTAATTCTGTTCCTGAAGTGGATGTTTACTGCACAGGATTTCTTTGTTGGATTTCAACTGTGTTTTATTTGCCACAGAGATCCGACCTCAAAAATTAGACATAGTGCAAATATTAAGATAAGTGAAGATAATGAAAATATTTGCTGAATAAACATTTGAATAATGGGGAAAACTCGGGGAAATATGGATAAGAAAGTATTTTCATTATCAAGTAATAACATAATGCAGAACGCATAAATGCAGTTGTGTGATGATAGTACTTTATAAGATCTTTAATTTTGAGAACAGAAAGGAAAGTTCACAACCCATAAGCATAAAATAGAAAAGGTCTACCTTGATTAAGGACACTGAGGCAAACCAGAAGTGATTAAAAACGTGGCATGACTTCATAACATCTAGCCAAAACACCTCTCCCTTTTAACCCTGAGCTCAAAAACTCTCATGTGGTTTATGGGGGAAAAAAGGCTAGAAGAAATACTGTACTTGAGGAAGAAAATAAATTTAAATCACAAAAGTAACAAGTTTTCTCATGAAAAGGGTTTAATTGTATTTAAGTCTGATTAAGAAGTGCCAGAAAATGAGTTTTCACAGGTGGTAATTCTCATTTATTCACCAACATGACTACATTTATGTGAACTACTTAGAAAGCAAGGAACATCTTGTTTTCTCTCCCGTTAACACAGTATAAACAGTGAGGAATACACTCAGCGTTCAGAAGGGGGAGGGATGGAAACATTGGAAAAGAAATACATAAAAGAAACATTAAAAGGGGAAAGCAAGAGAGATGTCATCTTCTGCAGACTATATAAAAATGACTAAATGCAGTTTGCTGCAGTGCTAACATGGCTATTGATCTAAGATCTAACTGCATTAAATTCTGCATTAAGGAATTTTAAACTAAAAAAGCAGATGACTACACACAAAGCAATTAGCAAAATTGTCTATGTCCATATTTATCTGCCAGGAGAAGGAAAAAAAAACTCTGCAAACTCCTCCTTTCAAGAAAAGCACAACCATGGCTGGCACACAAAGGTAAGAAAAGGAAAAAGTAGAACTGTGGATAATTTGCAGGTGGCTTTTATGAATATTCTCTGAATTTATGTGGTGCTTAAGCACAAGCCTTGGAAATCAACTGCCAGCTGGCTTAAAAAAAAAAAAACAAAAAAAACACACATTCCCTCCTGCCCACCCCAAAACCAAAATTGTATCTCTCATACTGAAAGATATAAACCCTAATTAGGCCCTGGGTACACCTGTGAGAAATTTCACTGAAGATGCATGGTGAAGGTAACAGAAGCTACAGGCATAGATCGAGGTGGTAACAGGAATCCACAAAAGATAGAATTAAAATATGCTTTTAGTGTCACGCACATGGTTTTCACCTGGAATTAAAAATGCATGTTCAGGATAAAAATTATGTCTGAAATAGTTTCTAACAAGCAAACAAAAAACAGAAGTAATTCAGCATCCTTTGCATTTACTACTGCATCTCAACACTTCATGTTAACTCGTGTTTTTTTAAGCACTAGAAGGCCTTATCTTCATATTGAGCTCAAATCTTTTTTTTTTTTTTTGATCATTCAGCTAACAAAAATCAGATGAGACTTTCTTCCTTTTCATTAATATCTGCAGGCTACATGAAGAAAACCAAAAGAAACCCAAACCCTTTTGATCCGGGTAGCTAAAATGCTTTCAAACTTAAATGCACTAGCAACATCAGTACAATCAACCATCTCCACCAGCTCTCAGGAGAATGAGTGTCCTCCCTCTCTGGAGTTCCGACTCACAACCTGCAGCAAATGCAGGTGATATGTGAGCACAGCAGAGTCTGTCCCTTCTGCTCTAACCTGAGTTCCCTGCCACAGCTGTAGGACCAAGCACTTGGAACACAGAACAAGCATTTCAATTTAAATCTACCAGAGATGACAACAAAGTTCTTTGATTACAAACTTCTTTGGGGCAAAGAAACCCATTTTATTTTGGACAGAGATACCCATTCTATTTGCAAAGTTGTAAGTACAATAGGCTCTGATCTGTGACAGAGACTCCTCAGCATTATTGCAGCGTAACAACTCCTTAGTTACCTGCTAGTCATCACCGTGTCCACAGATCTGTTTTGCCACTGATGCCTTCAAGCCAGCTTGGGGCAGCTGGAGAGTGCATTTAGTACAAGTAGTCAGAGCACTCTTGAAACGCCAACTCACAGTCTTGTTTGCAAGAAAGATTTCCATTGCAAAAGCAATTAAGCCTACCATGAAATACCAAGTATGCACCAACAGGCTTATCTTGATCCCCTTAAAAATATCCCAACTTGAGCTCTCCAACATGTCCCTTGCACTACAGTACAAACGGGCAACAACCAAGCAATCATTTTCAACCCCACCTCCAAAGCCAGGCTCCAGTCAACGTCCCAATGTGCACAAAAAAAAAAACCTGCTAAACAGCTCACAGCCATCAGGCTCTTGCTGAAAGCACTGAGATCCAATTTCTTCAGCCTCAGAGGGTCCAATAAGTTTGTTTTGCTCTGTCTTAAAAGACTATTCCTTTCCTCAAAATTTTGATAATGTTGCAAGTGAACCTTAACGCTTCAGCCCATGGGGGATATGATGTGAGAAATGGGGAATCTCATCTTGGCCCTTACTCACTTCAGCCCCTTATATACGCAGAAAGCAGCTTTGATATAAACCTTCAACTTGATCTGTATGATTCCCAAAACATTTTTATTCTCTGTGGAGTGTCATCAGCTGTCCTGGATTCCACGAGGCCGATGACACGGTCATTTCCTCTGCTGGACAAATGCAGCATATACTGGCTCTTGCTCAGCTCGAACCTGTCAGTACTCCCATCAGCAAGTACGAGGATAAAGACAGCTTTCTTTAGGCATGTCCAGAACACTTCCTAGTGAGAGGTTTTCCAAAGAGCTCTCACACTCCAGACTATTTTAGCACTGCCCAATTCAGGACTGGGACTTTAACGTGATGTTAAATTTGAATGTCTAAAGTGGTCTCTAAAAAATACTTCTGGCCACACTGATCCTCTCAAGAACTTCTACAGCAAAATGCTGTCCCCTTGCATAGTCTGAACCACTCTGACAATTTATCTGTAACCCAATTTGTTTGTGACAGCAGTCAATACTTCTGTCCAACCAAAATTCTCCGAAAATAACCAGCGTCCAGTCCGCAGCTGACATACGCTCCAACCCATTGGGTTTAGTGCTGCTACCAAAATTTGCTGCCACTTGTTTCCTCTAGACACTAACTAATAACTAATAAACTGACAAAAAGGAGAACAACCCCTATCAGCAAAGAAAAGGGATATGCAGAATATCACTGAAGTGAGTGAATAATACAGAAAACTAACCTGGGGACATGGAGTTTTCACAAGGAGAGAATTAAATCAGAAATCTTTGTAGGACGGAGAAGAGATGCGCGCTGGCCTGACACAGGAAGAAAGTGCATGGCAGTCACGATAGCCTGACACAGGAGGGAGAATAGAGAACTGGGAGAATAGAGGATATAGGGAAAAAGGAACCCAGCAAAACAATTTTCCAGCAGAGAAAAATTGAGCTTATACAAGTGAGTGAGAAGAACACTGCCTGTGTGAAGAGGTAACTAAATGCGGTGTGCAGCCCAAGGCCCAGCAGGATGACCCACAGCAGGCCTGCACCAAGAATGGAGAACAGCAAATGGAGTGGGCAAAGGAAGCTCAGACAAACGTAGTAGAATCTACAACCTCAAAGCTTTCCTAGTCCGTTACCACATCCCTTTGGCATCAGTTCTGAAGTTAACAATACGAAGCCTCGCTCTCATTCTTACCCTCAGTCACCTTTATTTCTTCTTTCTGTGCTGCCTTCTCCAGCTCTGGTTCTGCAGCCTGCAAACGTGGTGACCAGCACTATTCCAGCAGCCTGCTTTATTTGGAGGACTTCCTGCTTTTCTCTGCTCAGCACTGCATCCCATACATATCCCACAATTTCCTACTGATGTTATTAAAAACAAAGAAACAAACCTTTGCTAAACGCCGGCGTTTTATATAAAAACCCGATCATCTGCGCGCACGTGAAGAACCAACTAGAAATCTGCCTGTCAAAACGGGCTGTGGGATTTCTGCAAATTACCCAAACGCCGGCAGCGCAATTTTAACGTTATTTAGCCTCGAAACGCCCTCACGGACCCCGCGAAGCCCCCCTCAGGGCCGTCCCCTCAGGGCCGCCCAACGGCCGCGCCGCGCGCCAGGCCCGGAGCGGGAAGGGGGGGGGAAGGAGGGGGTCTCCCCGGCGGGGCTGCCGCTCTTACCTCCGCGCGCGGCTCCGTCGCGCGGCTCTGACGTCACTCCGGGGCCGTTGGGCGCGAGGGGCGGCCGTTGGCGCCCCGCCTGTGAGGGAGCGGGGCGGGGCGGGGCGGGGCGGGGCGGGGCGGGGCGGCCCTCAGGGGGCTCCTGCAGAAAACGTGAGCATCTTGTTAATTGTTTGGGTTGCTGCTCCGTGCTCTGATGAGGCTGGTGTGAGCCCAAACCAGTCTTTCCCCTAATGTTGGAAGCGTATCGAAAGCTCTTCAGGCGTTGTACTTGTACAAGTCTTGTCACCGCCTTGTCCTCGTGGAGATTTAGAGGTTTTAAGTTTGCGGTTTCTACCAAAATGTCTGAAAGTGCAGCTTTTTCAGATATAACGTTACTTATGAAAGTAGCAAACACAGGGATGCTTTAAGAACCTTCTGATTTTATGGGGGATGCGCACAGATAGTGGAAACACTGGGGTGAGGAGGGGTAGCCCTACTGCCTGCACATCCCTCACCAGAAGAGTATAACCCATCTCACTGAATTTCATAACCGTTTCTTAAAAAACACAGCCTAATGCCTTTATCTTGTCCAGTTTTCCAAGTACAACTACAGAACTGTGCACTCTGTGTAAAAGTAAATTGAAGAGGGATTCAGTTTATAAGGCTTAGAAATGCAATAAAATAAATGTGAACAAAACAAAACAAACAAAAACAAACAAAAAAAACAGCAAGACCTGAACTCCTAAAATATAAAAGTTTGCACTTCCAGACTGCCAAGGTGTCTACAAGAACCACAGAACACTTGACATATGTTAACTCCTTCCTGCCTTTGTATTCACGTGTCACAGGTTTGGAAGCACAGAGAGGGAAGTTGATCGATAGACTAATTGATTTACCAAATGTTAGGTAGGACATTTCTGCCAGAGTCGTATTTCCTAAAGCTTTTTTTTTTTTTTCAGTTACAAGATGAAAGGAAAATGCAACACATGCTGATCAACGTCCAGATTCAACCGTCTGTGGATAACCACGTAGAGCATTAATGCAGTACAGGTTGGAGTGTTTCACGGTCATACAGTGTGGCTCTTTGTCGCCTTCTGGTGGTTTACACACGTTATAGATCTGCTACTGCCTCCAAATTGCTACAGATTTATGCTTTTATTTGAGTAACGAGAGTTTGTATACTTCAGTGCCATAGATCGTGGAATTTCTAGAGGCAGTTCACTAAGAAGGTTGCTAGGTATATATGTACATATATTTGTTTTCTGCCTAAAATGGCTGTGATGCTTGTTTGTTTTTCAGAGCAGTGAATGAGGAGTTAAGGGTTTGTCTTCATCCCAGCCAAAATATGATTGAATACAGCTTATGTAATTCAGTTGTTTTATGTTGGTGTCACCGTGAAAGTATATTATGATTTTATGTGTGGATATCTATACAAAAATCTATCCAGGAAAAGCTATACAGCCATCCAGTACTTAATGGAAGCCATTTCATTTGAGAGGACTATGAATGATTATTGATTTTTCTCTATCATTCGCAAAACAACATAAAACAATCCTAAATATTTTTGCCAAAACAGTCAAAATGACAGGCATTGTTAACATAATTACTCCTTTATTATGATATATCTCATTCATTGCACACGCTATATATCGACCCCTTCAGAGTCAATGTTCTTTGCAGAGCAGACATGGAGGCCAAATTCTGTAGTCTCCACTTGGCTGGAACCTTGATGCTTACATGTAAGCGGGATTTTTGTTCTGAGGTCACCTGCAGTATTCTTATCAGGACTATAATTATTTAAGATAAACATGTTTGCTGTATTTAAGACATGCAGTAAGATTTTATAAACATTTCTTTCGAACTGCTGAACTGCCTTGACTTTTCACCTTGGAGAGTGAGACCCACAGACTCTGTGAAAAAAGAAAGCTTTCTGATGCCTTTCATTAAAAGAATGAGGAACAGTATCTGGTCTATATTAACAGAACATTTTTGGTAAATGTATTTCCAAGGCGCATTTTCAATTAAAATGTGGTAAATAAGAGCACTTACTCAGCATATCAAGGATAGTGACATTGATGATATTCTTTTAAGTCACAGCCAGACATCATCTTTCCAAGCATGACAGAAGCCACATGCTTCGATATCAGCAGAAGCCCAGGGTGTCCTGTGACTACATAAAAAGAACTGCTGACAATTACAAGTAAATTGCCATTGTGCATTGGATTAAGCAGGCTTTTCACTGCTTAGGTGAAAATCAGAGCTCCAGAGAAACACAGATTTTGTACAGTCCTTGTCGAAGACCACTGTGTGCAAGCTGCCCTAATGTCCTCAGACATCCCCAGGGCTAAATTCTAAGATTGTGTCAGCTTCAGCAGTGTAAAAAAAAAAAAAAAAATGGTCTGCTGCAGTTTGTTCATTTTTTGTGTCCAAATTCTCTCCCTATTCTACTCTTTGTAATGTCTGTTGAGTCCTCAATTGCATTCCTGTGGTTTGAATGATACAATTTACTAATTACACTACTCCTTCTTTGGACATTATTACATTTGAAAGCAAAATGAATCTCATTAAATTATACTAGAATGAAATCCTCCAGATTATCTGTAAACTTCATTGTTTCCTGAAACGTGCCTTACGATTAAAATCTCATAAAGCAGAAAGAGTAACAGTGTTGCTCTACATCCATGTAGATGGGGAGTAGCTTTTAGTCACTTAGGGCAGCTGAGGCATCCCATGTTACTCTGAAGGGGATGAGAGGTAGTTACAGCCCCTCTCCCTTCTCAGCAGGTTCCTCCAGCATCACTCAGTAATCTGGATTGGCAGGCAGGCCATCCATGCTGAAAACCCTGGCTCAGCCAACCACGTGGAAAAGAGCACTGCGCCTTTGCTGTTCACCGAAAGCTGGATGACATCACAGCTCGGGAAATGAAATCAATCCCGACACTGGCTCCATACTCCCAAGGAGGGACGGTGTGACAGCACAGAGCTTCACAGAACTCCGGTCACTACAAGATGAACGGCAGAAGGCAGTAAGGAACGACTCGATGCTGTGGGCTGGGCAGGAAGAAAGAGCCACCAGGGTGCAGCTCAGCTCACAACCGTGAGGATTCCCAGCTAACTGTCCTTCTGCCCTTTGTAGCTAATGCCACAAAACACAGCATTAGCAGTGGCTGTGCACACTGTGAAAGATCAGCAAGGTTATGGATGATCACCTTGTTCAGGAAAAGAAAGATTCACAAGGAATGAGATCTTCAGCCAGCAAGGCTGCATGCAGACCTGCTTGTAGGACGGACAGATGATTTTATGGAGCCTGGCCGTGTTACACAAAGCCCCCACTTTGCATCCGCAGCAACAGGAAAGCTGTAACAAAAAATCATCCAGGGTGCCTTGAAAATGGCCAGTGTAGCTGATGTCCAAATCACGCTTGTTGGTGCAGATGAGTTAAAAATCTCATTCCAACCAAAAATATGCAGTTCTACTTCTGATCACTTAAGCCTGGGTCATGCTAAGCACCACAGCCTGAAGCACAGACCAGCTGTGGCAACTCCAAAGGCCCAGAAAAATAATGCCACTGAAAAAGCTCATACAGCATTTGAAGATTCTCGTGTAGAAGACAAGATGAATACAAAAATTGTTAGGATTCTTCTGAGAATCTGGTATAAATCCAAAGAAGGATACTAGAAGCCACTTGTAACAAAAGGGTCAGTGAATCATTGGCAGCATAAACATTCAATTAATAAAAACAGACCAGAAAGAAAAGGCATCTACAGTCATCCTAATGGAGAAAAATAAAGGAATGGTATTACTTTGTTTTCAAGTCCAGCCTCTTCTGACACTAACTGCTCTTTTTGGCCTTTTAATGAGTCTTAGCAAGAGCAGCAGATATACTTCATTAAATAATTTAGCCTAAGTGGATATTTTTATCAGGTGTCCACCACAAGCCCTTTCTATCAATTACTGGAGAGGCAGTACAGAGAGCATTCCCTTTTATTCTGGCAGTCTCTTAAACCTCCAGAGATTCACTGTCTGTGCTGAAAATGCAAAACTAATTCTGACTTAAAATGAGATTTAGTTTGGTGAGGATACAGCTACAATATTTTGAAGCTAAACTGTGAAATGTTGTGCTACCTCTGGTAAGGCTGTAGCTTAGGTTTAAAGAAGTGTGTCTGTGTAAAACTGCAACATCACATTTAAACTATTTAAAGAATGAGTTAGTCTGCACCTGGGTACCTGACCTGCAAACCATTTCACAACTGAAGTAAAGTTATGCCTAATGTCATTAAAACGCAGAGTCGCAGAAGATACCTTTTAAAATTCCAGGTCAGGGCAAGCAGACCAGTTTGGGAGACCTGGTCTTTGTAGAGCACTCATGTCTGAAGGCCTCAACCATGTAAAGAAATCCCTGGGACAGGCATTTTGTGATTTTGAGGCCTGTTTCTCTACCATCTGTTCAATGGTCAGAGCAACCAATTACCAGAGGAGCATGTAGCAGGAGTAAGCTGAAGCATCGACATCCATCTGCTCGCTGGTACCTGCCTGCCTGCACTTGCCACTCAGCGGACAAGGGGTGAGTTACCTGCTGTGTCCCTGGCACATCACAAGACAAACGCTTGCAAAAGGACGATTACAGGCAGCTCACTGGCACGTTTACGGTAATTTATGTCTCCGTCTGCATTCTGCAGAGATCAGAGGTATGCAGGGAGCAGGAAAGCAAGGCAGGAACAGAGAATTCAGTGATTTATTACAAGGCAGACAGCAAGTCAAGGAAGATGGACCAAAATAATTGGACCTGCCAGGTCTGTACCCCAACTACTTGAGTGAGGAGGGAAATAGAGACTTGAAGAAGCTAACCCCAGGGATGTCTCACATCTTCAGGAGCTAAAGAACAAACAAACAAAAAAGCTGTGCCAGCAATGCAGGGTGGTGGCAAAGAAGTGTAACCTCAATTTTTTTCCCTGTTGCGGTAGTGTATGTGGCACCCCAGGCCCA